ACTTGTCAATAACAGAATACTATGATAATGGAGTCAAGTAGAAAATAAGGGGCAGATGCAATATGTGCTGCATATCTAAATATGAAATAGATGGGTGCAGAGACTTACGAGCTCCAGAGCCAGCCCACGGAAAGCAAGGTTGTGTATTCTCTCACTTTGCCTAAAAGAAGAGAGAACATTCAATCTCAGATAACCTCTCTAGTGTCAAAATAAAACATGCCACATTTCTATTTTGTGCATCCAAAGATGAAGACAAATAATAAAATGGGATCATGTTAATGATCACAAATCACAGTTTATTAGTAGAACCTCATGTTGTTAACCTTGGAGCATCAGTACCCATGAATTTGTTTTATGTCATGACATCAACTTTGGAAAAAATTTCATCTCATGGCATCTCAGCACGGTATAATTTTATCTCATGGGACGGTATATATCATGCCTCGATTCTTTTTTATAGTTCATGAATTTGGGCCTCGATTCTTTTTTATAGTTCATGAATTTGGGTGATGTTTAATGCAAAGAAATACATGTCATGATATAGATTATGTGGACAAGCTTGGGTGATGTTTAATGCAAAGAAATTCATGTCATGATATAGATTATGTGGACAAGCAAGAAAGTGGTAGAAAAAGGATGATTGAGATGTTTTTCATCTCATAAGTGATGATGTTCATATAAATTCCCAAATTAACATTAGTGTCGTATGTGGATGCTAGTTTAATTAGTTAAAGTCTTAGTCCTTAGTGGTGATTGTTATTCAAGACGTAGGATTGAATTTCGTTTACATCATTGTCTTGAAGATTAATATTTTTTTTTCATAGAGGGCTAAAAGTGCAATAAAATTGAAAGTTTGAGCAAGAATTTAAATAATTTGAATTTACAAACTTAAATTAAAATAACAGTGGCAGACCAGATATATGCAAATTAAATTTTGAATAAAGAATTAACGACAGTAAATAATACAAAGTTTCACTGGCGTGTGCTAAATAATACGACATCACAAGGAAAAAAAAACACACACACAATGCAATTTAACTAAAAAAAAGTAAAAATGGCGCTAAACATATAATAATGAAATGTTAAAAATTAATTACACTTTAAAAATAAAAAATAACAAAAAAAAAAACTAAAATAAAAATGAAGAAGAAACTTACAGCATTGTCGATTTGTGTTTCATAAAAGACAGGAATGCCAATCCCAATACCAACACTCACAACTCCCACTAAAATTGCAATTATCTGCAAAATTTAATATTATGATTATAATACAAACCCAAGTAATAATAGTAAAACAATTGATTGAATTGATTAATTTATTACATACTGTATTTTGATCAAGATTGGCAGCTCGAATGCATGGATAAGAAGTGCGAGAGCATCGATTTTTGGGTAAATTAAAGGTTAACAAAGAAGAAGAATTAAAAGCAGATAATTTGTGAGATGAACAGTTTTGAACAAGGTTTAATTACGGGATATTGCCTTAATAATTCCGTAATTAAAGCCTTGATTGTTGCTGACGGTTTTGAATACTATTGTATTTTGTATTAATTTATTCCGTTTTACAATCTTTCCGTTTATTATCTTACCGTTTTAAGCATATTTTATTCTCACTTAATTGTGCTAAGACGATTGTTGCTTTAATGTTGTTTTAATTCTTTGCTTGAAATGTTCAAATCAGCTGGCCTATATATACATCATTTTTCAGCATTTCAAAATACAGAAAAATTATTTTCGAATCTTCTTCCTCCTAAAATACAGAATTTTTTTTAGGAATCAATCTATAGAAATCCGTTCAAGGGGGAGTGTTGTAATACGCATCGTATGCGTAATATGAACGGATGAAGAATACCACTAAATATCACCGCTAAGCTTCCCATGTAAGAGTAAATTTTGCCGCTCATAACTTCATGCTCAATTAGACATTTCACTGCATGTTTAATATATCAATCAAACACTATTCATACAAGGTACTATACATAATCTGAGAAAATTATACACAACAATTATTGAAATATCTAAAAACTTTCCTTTGAAATCCTTTGTTGTAATTACAAAAAAAAAAAAAGAGTTAGTACAATGTAAAGTCCTTTGCCGGGAAATAGAGATAACTATTTTTTATTTATTTATTTTTTTTTTCCTTTGTTTTTTTTTTTAGCCTTTTCACTTTTAATGCTGCACTTCTCTCTCTCCTCCATTGAAACGGCTTCCAAGCTTTCTCTTCTCCATTAAAGCAGCTTTTACGGTAAAATGATATTATTTTTATTTTCCTTAATGCATTTGATTATTACTTTCAAAACCTTGTTTAGTTTCACATTATCATTGATTTGATTTCGAGTATAGAAATTAGGGTTCTAGGTGGATAATTGAACTATTGATTATTGAAACTGAAGTTGTAAAAGATTTTATCGAGTGATTTTGTTGTTAGAATTCTATGTGTAATGTACATTGATACTCTAATGTGAGAAGAATTTTTATTTTAAATGATTTTTCGAACTTGATTTTATAATTGAATCAAATTTAGTTGTGATGTGTGCATTCTGTGCAATGTAAGTTGATGTTCTTAAAAGAGAAGAATTTATTTGATTTTTAAATTGTAATTCGATAATTGAGTTGAATTTGGTTGATATTGTTTGCAGGATTTTGTTAATAATCCTCCAATGTTAGGATGAAACCAGAGCCATTTTTGACAATTTGGAGGCCTAGGGCAAAATGATAATTAAAAAATTCATTTATTTATATAATTGTCAAGTAGTTATGTAATTTGTTAATTCGTAAATAATTTTATATAATTTGTTAAATACTTTATTCCTTTCTTTAATTGCACCATTTGGACATTTTCATTCACACTTCTCTTTTGATCTTCATTTGTGATTTATCCGTTAGAAAAAAACATATAAATAAATATCATATTTTTTTATTTACTTAAATAAATAACTAGTAATCATCAATAAATTATAATCAATCAATAATCCATAAGTATATATACTAAAAAAATAACTATATTACTGACCCACTAAAAAAATTCGTGTTGATTCTTAGTGAGATAATGCACCATTCTTTTTTTGCTTTTTTTTATCATTCTCGTATAGAAAATATTTGTGTAAAATAGAAATGGATATACAGATAATTAGTAAAAGGAAAGTCTAATATAATAAAGTAATGAAAAAAATAAACGCAATAAGTCAAACTTTAGGTGATCTTCTAATATTAAGTCAATTTTAATAAATTAAAAAATAAGTCTAACATTGATGTCTATATTCCATGAATAATTTAAGTACTAGATTTAACTTGTGACCGGTCAAACAAGTCATCAATTGACTTATACTATAATTAACTCTCAATGAAATAAGAATTGATTTAATTAAATACAAAATATAACTTAATACTAATTTTAAATATAAAAAATTATTTTTAATTTTAACTATAATAAATAGTTTTTTAAAAAAGATTGAGGTGTCGGGTTTGGTGTGCAGGGCTGAGTGGTCATAGGTTCGTGCTGACTAGGGTGGGTGGGAGTTGTGTGGATTTGATCGATCGACTAGGTTAGGGCTAGGTGAGAGTTCGCCACATAATTGTAGTTTGAGAGTAAGGGTTGGGGTTTGGGTGGGAGTTCGCCAAATAAGTGGGGTTCGAGAGTTAGAATTAGGGTTTGGGTGGGTGTTCGCTGAACTGGTTGAGACACTAGGGTGTAAAGTCAAAATGTATCTAATAAAAGGAACAGATGGAGTATTAGAGCAACTTTAATGGTAAGCTAATTAGCAAATTAGCTTTTTTGGCCACATAAAAATTTTAAAGCTAATTTTTTTGTAGCTAGTTTGTGCCCTGACTACTAGCTTGTGGTGTTTAACAGAGAGAAGAAGAATGGATTCTGGAGTAAGTGCAATTATTATATGGTTTTGTCTCACTCTTTTTGTAGTATGGGTGGCTGGTGGGAACACTGTTTTGGTAATTTTGGAGAGGATATGGTGAGTTTTAATTACCATGTGGTGGGCTATGTGGGGCGTAAGGAACAAATGGATGATTGAGGGTGAAAATCCGAATGTTGAGCAAATTATTGCATATGCTTTGAAGATTAAAGGTGGGAAAGTTGAATAACACATTTTTGTAAAGGATATTATTGCAAATTTTTGTAATTGTATGGCTCCAGTTCCTTTCATCTGATTATAAAGGATATTCTAGATTTTTTTTTTCTTCTAATTTTACTAGTGATTCATGGTCTTTTGTAAAGCGAGGGTTTAATAATTAGCACAAATTGACTTACTTTCAACCATGGGAGTTTGGCCAATGGGTGTGGGCGTAATCCCTCCTCGCATTTTGGAAATTTCTTCGGTTGATCTAGATGGTTTTTTTTTTCAAAAAAAAAAAAAAAAGGTATTAAAGTTGTCACTTCCAAAGTTATTCTCTAATAATTTTCTGTTTTACACAGATCACTAACCAACTCATACAATTAACTAACTCATACAATTCTACACTTGCTAGTCTGCAACTGTATTTATAATAAAATGTAGGTGGCCATCACCTGATGTTAAAACCGCAAAGGTAACACTACCTATACAATTGCATAGTTCACACTTCACATGACACAATTAATTTGCCATAATAGCCACGATAAAAGAGTCATCCTAACCACATTTTTTTTTTGAGGAAAACTCATCCTAACCACATTTAAGACATGATAACTTGTAATTGACTTATGTTACCATACTTTCCTTTCGTTTGTCGTAAACTCAGTTTAATTAATGTAATTTTAGTCGTTTTCAAAACTAAAAAAAATAAAAAAAAACAAAAAAATAAGAAAAAACTTACAAACAAATTATACAAGCTTTGGTGTGTGAAAATAGTATTTGAGAAATGGAAGTGTAAAGATAAACTAATACTCCATACTTTTTAAAACAGGTTTACTCTAAACCCTTAAAAGGATTGCCCTGCCCCTTAATTGGACGATCATATAAAGACTCAACCCATATATTTATTAGACGGATCTAACCCATTAATAGCTGTGTCGGGTCATGGGTCATGGCTTCTAATAGGGATCCAAGGCGTCCAACCCATTGAATTGCTCCATTGAAGCGCATTCAACGTTCTCCATTGAAGCGCAGTTGCCGTTCTCCGTTGAATATAGTTCTTGTATCCCCCATTGAAGCAGCTTCTGAGGTATTGTTATCATCATATCAAATATCCCTAAAATTATGAGATAATTGAATCAAATATCCCTAAAATTATGAGATAATTGAATCAAATTTGGTTGCTAATGTATTGCACAACACTTTAATGATAGGATTCAACTATGAAATCAGAGCTCTTTTCCCTGGGCCCAGGGCTGCCGCCCCTCCTGCCCTTCCTCAGGGACGGGCCTGGATGGAACTATGAACCAGAACCTTTTCTCCCTGGGCCCAGGGCAGCCGCCCCTTCTGCCCCGGCTCAGGGGCGGGCCTGCGTGTACTTTGCAGCGTCAATTACTTCTCACAAGACCAGTGAATTTGAATTGGTACTCTCGATTTCAATTTTATCAGCATCCATAAAAATGATAAAACTAAATCTAGGTTTATTAATTTTCTTTTTGTGAAATAAATTTTTTTGCCCATTTGAAAGCTCGTTGATTTATGTTGTTTTTCATTTTGTAGGTCCAAGGTGTATTGCATATATTGCAGGGTAATTCAAGCCCCTTGTTTGTTTGGGATGATAATCAATGTCGATTTTATGTCAAAACTGGGATGTATGTTTCTCACCTCTCTCAAACGAGTTTGCATGATGTTCTCCATCAGTTTTTGTATGCTGCAACTTGTTTGAGGCTAGTAGAGCTTGTTGTAGAACGAATTGAGAAAGAGGGGAAATACTTTCCTACGTTGAGGGCATTCGGGAGCTCAGTTTCATCTTGGCTCAAGGTTGATTTGTTGTTTTGTTTAGCTGCATTGTATTTTCTATGTTGCATTGTTATTTTTATAGTTTAAAATGCTCTGATTTTTGTAAACTAAATTGTCACATTGTAAACTTATATAAATAAATAATAATATTGGATTCCCATCTACCCTTGTTTTGAATAATTAGTGGAAACACAACACAAATTGGTAGTTGTAATTGTACAAATTGATGTTTATATTGGGAAATGCATTATACTATCTATGTATAAACCAATTTTTTGGGACGAACCAATGTATTCTGTATAAACTTAGTAATATGTAAATAGTATAGAGTTCTTGTTTGGTGCTTACTATATTAGCTTAGCTAGCTTGTGTTTGGAACAGAGGTTGCGAGACATTGCATTGAAGGAAGATGTAAAGATAAATGACTCTGATCCAAGGACTGTTCCAACACTTCTGGGGATGGCTAACTCTTTGTCCAGGTTGACATTCTATCTATGTATATTGTCCCTCTAGTATCTTAAATGCAATTCTAGTTTCATGGTAAACTTTGTTTTGTTCCTACCTATGTGTATTTGTTGTTTGTGGTTAGTATTGTAAATGTACTAACATACTATTTAGATGAATGGATGCTTAGCAAGAGGCATCTGTAGCAATTGACGTGTTTTTATTGCCTAATGACTGCTCAATATATATTTCCAACACTAAATTTTTTTTTTTATTTAAAAAAAAAGATTTTTTTTTCATATAGTTTTAAATAAAAGTAAAAAAAGATTTTTTTAAATATAGTTTTAAATAAAAGTAAAAAAAAAAATATTTATATATATATATATATATATATATATATATATATATATATATATATATATATATATATATATATATATATATATATATATATATATATATATATACACACTTTGATCATATCATGGCAGAGAAACATTGCAATGTACTCCAAGAGTTCATTTTGTTTGTTCTAGGATTTACGGATATTGTGTTATGTTCTGCTTTGTTTTGTTGCTCATCTTTTGCCTCTGGTCTCGTTTTTATGGTGTTCATGCATGCAGGAGTGGATTTTTTTTGCTTCATTGTTTTAAAATTTCCAGAATCTGGATGTCCTATATCCTTTGTTGACAGTAGAGATCTTGTTTTATCCTTGTATGAGCTGATGCGTATATGGTATTTTGTTTGGAGTTGGGTACAATAATATCTTTGCTTTTGCATAGGGATCATCTGACTATGCTTAATTTATCTTAGCCTTTGTTCAGGGGCTGAGTTTTTGTTACAAATGGTTCGTGAAGCTGTCCCAAAATTCTGGCTTGATTCTCAGCATTCTGCCCCTGCTGCTGAAGTGGCCGTCCATATCCTTGATCAGCTTTACAAGAAGCTAAATGAAACTTGTCTTGTGCAGGGTGGTGAGGTTGTATTAAAGTAACATAGTTCTTTTTTATTTTCTTATTTTAATGCTTGTATTTTATTTATATTTCCGTTTTTAATGACAAATTATGCAATTTTTAGGAGGAGGCATATAGGATGCTTCTTTATTTATTTCTTGGAAGTCTATTGCCATATATTGAGATCCTTGATTCCTGGATTTTTGAAGGGATTCTCGATGATCCTTATAATGAGGTAACCTCTTGAGAAAATAATTTTAGATTTATTTGTCTAATGTAATTCCAGGTTTTTTTAGGCACTAAAGAATGATTCTAGGGGAATTGTGTGCTCTTAGGATTTAGCTTGGGATGTGTGGGTGGATATACCCAGGGGTTTTATGTTCTTTGATGCTGCCTTTTAAATCATGTCCGAGTTTAAGGTGGAGATATTTGAGTTTCATGGTGTACGTGTATTGTGGGATGATGAGATTTCACAGAATCTATTTTGCTGTTTGAAATAAAGGCTATTCTGTATGGATATTCATCTTTCGTAATATCATTACATTACTTTTATAATAATATCATGCTGAGACATCTGTTATAGATCATTATATTACCTTATCAATAATTTTGATCTGTCCTTAATTTAGCATATTGATAGTTTAATACAATTGAAGTCTCATATTAGAATATACAATAACATTACACTCGTATTAGTAAATGCTTAGGACCTCTAACTTCTGCAGAAAATAGCAAGACAAGGTTATGTTAACCTGTAAAGTAAATTTCAACCATAATCTGTGTAAACTTGTAAAGTGTACTCGTATTATAATTATTTTCCACTTATAATAATTCAAATTTTATTTTTAAGCCTAAAATTTGAGTGTTATTTGTCACCCTGTTTTTTTTTTTTTTTTTTTTTCTTTTTTTTTTTACTACCAATGTTTTCTCTAGTTTCACTTGCCTTATTTTACATTCTTAATTGATTTGTCCGGCACTTTTCAGTGTTTTCACTGATGGGTTGAATGACGGTTCATGTTAGCTGATCCCAAATTCTTTTGGGTTAAGCTTTTGTTATTAGAAGATGATTGTGGTAACTGTCGTATCCAGAGTAGTTCTTTTTGTTGCAAATGCTCCGGTGAAGAATGTTTTATGCAACATTTTAGTGGTGGCAAAAAACATTTATGGATTGGTTATTGGCTTATTGCTCTGTTTTCTTGCTATTGCGGTGTTATATATTTAGATGTTTATGAGTGTATAAGAACATTATGAATTTTCCAATTTGTCCTTTTTTTATCAGACATCTATATACCTTCTCTCATGGAGTTTATTTTTCCCCATTTTTTTAGCGCTTGTCCCTGCTCAGCGAGGATGAATAATTTGTCTTAGAATTTCTCTTTCTTTAATTCTTTATTTTTTGTTGTTTTTCACTTTTGATATTTATTTCTTTGTTTTTTCTAACAGTTGTTCTTCTATGAAAATAAATCTGTGTCAATCAATGACACTGAATTTTGGGAGAAGAGCTATCTTTGGAGATCCCTATCACATCAAAAACTTGACGCTGAGATCTCAAGCATGGCTCTTAAGCAGCAAGCATGCCCATTATTTATTAAGGACATAGCTAAGGAAATTGTTTCTGCTGGAAAGTCTCTGCAGTTGATCAGGCATGTTCCAATGTCTTCAAGTATGACATCACCTTCAGGAGGGAGATATCAGGACTTGGGGGGTTTTAGAAGTACTTGCGGTGTTAAAAATCTTAGTGAATCCCATAGAGGGTACAGTACAGTAGGATTGACATTGGTAGAGCTATTTTTTGTGTCCGTGGCTGGTATGATAGGTCATGGTGATCATGTGTACAACTACTTTATGCAAAATGATTTAGCCTCTATGATTCCTTGTTTATTTCGATGTGAAGTGGAGAAACAGCATCTTGGAGAAATAGAGAGTGAGAGTTCTAATATGAAATGCCCAAGAAAGGCCTGGGTTGAGTTTTTGGATAGTACATTACAGAAAAGAGACGCTTCTCGTCAAGTTAAAACCATGTTGCCTCATTGTAAAAGAGATGTTGAGACTGGTTTGGTAAATGAAATCCAACTTCTGAAATCTTTCTGTCCTGAAAACCCAGTTATTACTGTTTGTAAAAAATTACTGAACAGGAATAGAGATGCCTTAGAAACCTTGACCTTGTCAAAAAATGCAAATCTTCCCCCATTAAATGATGAGGATTTACGGGAGGCTGTTTTCAATATTGAGAACAAAGGGTCTTTATTAACCAAGCAAACTAATTTCACTTTTGGTTTTCAACATAGTGAGTCTCAATTGCTTCGTTCAATAGAAGAGACAAAAGTTTTAGAAGCTATGTTTCCCTTTCCTACAGTTCTCCCTTCATACCAGGTGTGTTATTCAAATACTTGTTTAATGATATTATATGTGCTATAATTTCGGATCACCTTTCCATGGTTGATTTGTTATTTGATGTCAGGAGGACCTTCAGATGTCAGAATTGTTACCTCTCCAGAAAAATAGTACTTTGCCCTCCAGAATTCTTCGCTGGATTCAAATTGCCGAACCAAAGGGCTCCCCCCTTCCTACAGTTATATTGCATGAATGTCTGAAAGTTTACATCAATAAGCAGGTTCTTGTTTACTCTTTAGTTAAATTTATCAGTAGTAACTGTACAGGTTCTTATTCAATTTTTTTTCCCGCATACTTTAGGTGGATATTATTGGAAGTCACATGCTGTCAAAGTTACTCCAGGACTGGAGACTGATGGATGAGCTTGAAGTGTTGCGTGCTATATACTTGTTAGGTTCAGGTATTTTTTGCCATTTCCAATCATTTATTTAAGGATTATGACCATGCTGATTAGGATTTGATTTATGGTTGATGTGGATGCTTATCTCAGGGGATCTTCTCCAGCACTTCTTGTTAGTGATTTTCAATAAAATGGATAAAGGAGAATTATGGGATGATGATTTTGAGCTGAATATAATACTGCAGGTGAGGGTTTTGAGAATCCTAGAGAGAACTTTCCTTGACAAATTTGATTCCGAAGTTATACGTACTTTTACTCTAGTCTATGAGGCTATGGCTTCTAGGAATCCACAAAAGATAGGGTGGAAGAATAGTTAAAATGATTGTAGTAATCAGAATTGTAAAATGCTCTTAATTTCCCCTCCAACTTTGAATCACATCTTTTTATCTAAATATGATATCTTGTGACACTATGTTGGCCTTTAATATGTAATCATCTTGCTTCAAGTAAAATAAGCAATAGACAACTATTCTCACATTTCCTCTTAAATATATGAGGATGTCTCTTTATATTGATTGTTCCCCTTCACGGCTATGGCTCCTGATTTTCCTGCGATATGGAAAACTCCCTGATGTGCATCTTCTTTGGATCTGGATAGATTGATCATATAAGGTTGACTTACATATGTAATTATTTATTACTAAAACGTTATGGAAAAAATGTTTGAAAATATATATTGAGACTAATCGAACAGCATCACACAATAACATTTAATTTTTACATCTGTAAAGAATGTAGTTAAAATAATACTTCCTCCGCTTTTTTTAATTGCTCCATTTTCCTTTTGAGGAAGTTGCATATTAATTGCACCATTCCCTTTTCTCTCTCCTTTGTTTGTAGTCACATGGGCATTTTTGGTATCCTCACCTTTTGCTCCCTTTCTTGACTCTTGTTCCCAAAAAAGTGGTTCAATTTAAAAAAAAAAATAAAGGAAGTATATAAAAAGTGTCTAGATCAAACTGTTGCGGGTATTTAGAAACGCAGGGAGTGTTTAAAGATCAGCTGATCCAATCTTTTTTGTATCTACTATTTGTTGAACCAAAGGTAAGGAAATTTTGAGAGAAGTTGAAAATGTGGAGATGTGTATGATTTATATTAAAAAATTGTCCCTTTTTTGTGCTTATTAACAAGTCTCTAGGGCTTCATTTGGTTAGACATAGTTAGTGATGGGAACTTCAAGTTGCATGGAAAAAGTTACTTTGTTTGATTGACCACCTATCAAGAAACTTGAAATTCCTTTTGTCACTTGGCTCCTATGATAGTATGGAAGCGGGGGTGTTGGGTATGTTGCACTTCCATCTTTCATTCGTCACCCAAAGTACATTTTTTTTTTAAAAAATGAATAGTTTATAATTGTTGTTGCAAATTATTGTGTTTTACATGCATTCATTAAACCTTATATGATATGACATTCATTTCCATGGAAATGTTATCAGAACTCTATATTAATGGAGCTTTTCTGGAACATGTTATTCCCCGCGGAAATCATCAATGTGATTTATTTCCATCAGCTTTATTGGAACTTGGTCTTGGTTTCTGGTAAATTAGATTAGACTTGTTTTCTTTGATGACTGAACTTGCTTGCTTTCTTTGGTTTCTTAACATCTTTTTATTGTCTATTTTAGGAGTCAATCAGAAATTCGGCAGATGCCATGCTATTGACTGCACCAGACTCATTGGTTGTCTCCATCATAAAACCTCATGGTCTTGATGGTAGTGATCATCAGAATGCAAATGCTATTCCATCTACCCCTCGTAGAGGTCATGATAATATCTCGGGCGTTAATGGTCTTGATGTACTCAACTTCACCTACAAGGTCGGTTTGATTTTATATTTTATATTTTTTTTATTTTTAGATTTTACTGAGAATGAACTGGCCATCTTCAAGAAAGCCTTTGATCTCTTATGAAAAATTATCAACTTTGTTATATAATGGATCAGATTAAAGGTTTACTAAATTAGCTTTTATATATGTTACACATGAGGCCTATAGTTTATTGATGTTTGGAAAACTCGGCTCAAACCCTTCCTCTACAACTAACCTCTACAAAAACGTATAGCCTAGATGAAGTTGGAAAGAGTAGGCATCTGACTTGTCGCTTTTACTCTAAACATTGTTGCCGGACACCCTTCAACTAATAGACATTCCCTAGAGCTCCATAAAAAAGACTCCCTAAAACATAAAATCACCTTTGTCCTTAAGTCAATTTGTCTTATTGTTGCTTCTTAATTTGCGCCCAAGTAGGCAATTGAGCTCCTTTTTTTGTCCCATCCAAAATTTGCAGGGTGCTCATTTGTTTTCAGTGAATTTACGAAGTTTGTGTATTTTAATGTCATAGGTTTCTTGGCCACTTGAACTTATTGCTAACACTGAGGCAATTAGAAAATATAACCAGGTAAAACTTTGTGCATATAGTTTTATTTCTTGATTCAAATTGCCATCAGTAATTGCTAATTTCTGAAACACATTATACGTAGGTGATGCATTTCCTATTGAAAGTTAAGCGTGCAAAGTTTGTACTTGACAAAGTTCGGAGATGGATATGGAAGGTTACACTTTTTCTTCATCTTGTTATTTTACCTAGTTTAGTGACAGACTTGGCAAGTAAATGAGCCATGCAAAATGTTAAGCAGAATCAACTTTAATCTCTTAAAAAAAATAAATAAATAAATTTATCACAGTACTTATCAGCATCACTGCTCCATTCTCATTGGCAATTTCTTACAGAAAAAAGGTTTAGTGACAGTCAACTTCAAGCACCATTGGTTAGTGGAACAGAAACTTTTGCATTTTGTGGATGCTTTTCACCAATATGTGATGGATAGAGTAAGATATTTCTCCTTATAAAAGCTTGCATCAAGCAGACTTGTAAATTTTTCTATGCTACTTATATGTTGCTTAGTACTGTCCCTTTTTCCGTTTTCAGGGGAAATCGTTATGGATATATATTCTGCCTTACAATTTTTCTATGCTACTTATATGTTGCTTAGTACTGTCCCTTTTTCCATTTTCAGGGGAAATCGTTATGGATATATATTCTGCCATACTATTTCTGGACAATTAAGTAAAGTTTGGCTTGTTATTGACTTGTGACATTGATTTCAAATTTTTCAAGCTAAAAATCTCCACAAACTACTTTTCCAACTTTTTATAAATTGAAAACTAAAAGAACAAAGAGAAGAGGTGAATTTGGGAAAAAAGGGAACTATCATTAGAAGTCTCCGTTTCTTCTGATTTTTCCCGTCAATAGTTGTTGTTGGCTAATGGAAAGCACTTCCTTCTTTGGGTACACACCTCACCCACACAATTGAAGCCCATAGGAATTTTGGCTTGACTTGATTTTGTCAAGTTCTTTTGTACGTGTGTGATATGCATGTCCCATGATTGAAGATTAAGGTATAGTTTGATACTTTGATGTATACCTTGCCTCCAATATTAAAACACTTTTATCTCATTGCTCCAGATTTTTTTTGATGACATGAATAGACCGTTTAGATTTTACTATGTCTTTGGATAAAGAAAGGGGAAGGAAAAGAAGGGGAGGGAGGTGAAGGGGAGGGAAAAATGATGAGTTCTCCTTCCAAATCTTTCCATTCTAGGAGAGATAATTATCTTACGATATTTTCCTCCAATTCTCTCCCCTCCAGTTCCCTTCCTTCCTTATTTGTTTTCCAAATGAAAGTACCATCCCTCGAATTCCCTTCCCTTCATTTCCCTCCATTTCCTTCAATCCAAACAAAGGGCTAGAAGATACATGATCTACTGTGCTAGCCTTGGTAGAAGCTAAATTTTGTTTGGGGCAATTGGTAAGCAATATATAAACCTCAAAATAGCATTATTGAAACAGTTTTCAGGGTAGTTCAGGAGCTTTACTATCAGCTGGTGTCTTGGTCATAAAAGCTTTGCTATTTGGCGAGAAGTGTGAAGACTAAAAATTATGGGTGGTTAGTTAGTTAGGTCTGGATACTCGTCTAGCTTGGTGTGGGGTTGATTGATGTTCTTTGCTGACATTAGCATGCATTGTCCCACCTTATACCTAATTCTTCCAAGTGCCTCAACTTATAATATCCAGAGAAAGACTGGCTCTTGATGTTTAATAGTAGCAAACAATGTAATCATCTAGTTAGTGTTTACACGAGTTTCACAAAATGTCAATCTCATATCCATTTGGTGATGCAGGTCTATCATAGTGCCTGGCGTGAGATGTGCCAAGGTATTGCAGCAGCATGTTCTTTAGATGAAGTAATTGAAGTACATGAAGCCTACTTGCTATCAATACAAAGACAATGCTTTGTTGTTCCTGATAAGCTGGTATGTATCATCTCATTTATCTGATATGTTATGATTTTATAGTGTCCTCCCATTCTTAGTTCATGCTACGGTGAAATTGTTCCAACTACAGGGGGCACTAATAGCCAGCAGGATAAACACTATCCTTGGATTGGCTCTGGACTTTTACTCGATACAGCAGACACTTAATAGTGGTGGAGCTATTTCTGCTATTAAAACGAGATGTGAAATGGAAGTGGAACGTATTGAGAAGCAGTTCGATGATTGCATTGCCTTTCTTCTCAGAGTATTCTTTCTCTCCACATCTTAGATAAATCTGCTAAAGTCACAAGGAAGTGAAGGAGTTTTTATTCTGCAGTGAGAAAGTATTAGTGGGGAACTGGGAGGGTACATAGTGAAAAGAAACTAAGATAAATGAAATAAAATATTGGAAGTAAGCAATGGTGGTTTTGGGCAGATTAATGTGCTTAACTTCACCACATTTGGCTACCATACAATGCTTGGTAAACAGTAATTTATTTTTATTATTATTATTATTTTTTATTTTTTTTTTTGGGGGGGGGTATAAAAAAGATATTAATTAATGAGGGTAAAGTAAAATGTCGTAAATAATAACAGGGTATAAGCAGCCCTAAGGGTTGCATTAATATATTTAATTACATTTCCTAAAATGGTATAAATTTGGGAAATTATGAAAAACGTACGCATAGAACAGTGTAATTACTGCTTGGTTTTCTTTTTAGCTGCATATAGCATTTTCTTTCTTGTAGGTAGAAGGATGTAATGATAGTGTTATTTTTCTCAATATGTGGCTTTACAGGTATTGTCCTTCAAGATCAATGTTGGACACTTTCCACATTTGGCAGATTTGGTGACTAGAATAAATTACAACTACTACTACATGTCTGATAATGGAAACATGATGACAGCCCCTGGATCTGAATCAGTGAAGTTGGGAAAGGCCTTTCCAAGCAGACCTGGGTGATTGGATTCCCCACGTTTGTTTTTTTATTTCCCATTTGTATCAGAACGACAGAATCGTTCTGTGTAATGCCAGTCAAAGGTAGAAGTTGCGCGACATGCCAACTTTTCCCCTCCACAAGTTTTAATGTTCCAGGATTGCCTGAAATTTAGCTGTTGATGCAGATACCCTTATCATACTAGCTAAAGCAGGCAAGCTGGTGAGGATATGGGCTAAAAGTTGTTTTGTCTAGCTGCAGCTTGTATATAGAATATCTAGCTGGCTAAAATTGTGTATGTGTGTGTGTGTGTGTGTGTAGGTGTGTGTGTTCCAAAGCACTGCACTGATCGTATGTAATTGATGTAATTTATTCTTGGTGGATTATATTTTAGGGTGTTGGTGTCCTTGCTAGTTGCTACTCGTTTCATGTACTCATTTTTGCAGTGGTAACATATTCTTTTGTATAGGGCCAGCGTTTGTGGTTCTTATGAACAGTTGGCACATTGTTTTGGACAATTTTGCTTATAGGATGTTCGATCTGTCTTATAGGGGGTGCCAAATTGCCAATGATTAAATGGTTATGGGTCATCTCAATAGAAAGGGAAAATAAAGAATTAGATTTGCCTAAGACGGCTTAGTAGGAATTTGATCTCAACATGTTCCCTAGGGCAATGTGTTAATGACGAGTTGATAAAAATAATACAAGTATGAGTAGTAAAATAAAGGAAGTTTTGTATTTGGAAAATTTGCAAATTGTAGCCATTTAGTGCGCATGTCTTTAGTGCGCGGTTTTAGGGTGATTTAGGGCTCACTTATTGCCATATTTTAGCTATTTTGCTCACTTATCGCTCTGTTTCTGCACTTTCTTCGTACTTGTCATGCTTCACGGGTTTTGTTAGTGTTTTGATGCATTTTCAGGTATGCTTAGACCCTTACGAGACATCCCGATGGTTGGGTAAGAAGTCATGGCCTCGAGGTATCTTTAGCTAGGCTTGAATTTCATTTGAAGACCTCTTGGGGTTTTGCACGGTCGTGTAATGTTCGGCACGGCCGTTCAAAGAAGTTTGAAGATTGGCAAAACCTTCTGTGAAGGCTGCACGGACGTGCTGCAATTGGCACGGCCGTGCAGCCGTGCATGATGGTGGCACGCCCGTGCATGATAGCTGCTGAGCACGTCGAAGCTTCTACCTTAGCTGCACACCCGTGCCATTATGTGGCACGTCCGTGCCAGGCCCCAGTTCCAGTTTCCAGATCTTCTACCAATGCTGCACGACCGTGCAGTGTTTGGCACGTCTATGCCGATCTGTTTCATCTCCGCCCCCTTTGTTTTGGACTAATATAAATAGATTGATTGCCTCATTTATGAAGGGAGATGGTAGAGAGAGAAAGACTTAGTAATAGTGCTCTGTTTTGGGTTTAAACACATTTTCTTAGATTTTGTTTAGTTCCTAATCAAATTTAAACACTTTGTAATTGATTTGAAGATTATTCCACGTTTGAAAAGTATTGCAACCAAGATTATTGAAGTTTCTCATTTAGTAACATTTCTTATCTCTCTTTACTCTTAATCTCTTGTTTGCTTTATTTTGCATGTTTATTTGAATCTCTTAGTCCCTATTTATGATTAGTTGAATGTTTAGCACCATTTTTGGTGAATTTTCTCTTTGATGATTGTTGAGCAAGATACAATCCTAAATTTTGATTTTGTGCTTTTCAATATGATGTGTGAGTAGTTCCTTAGCTAGGAGTTGGGTGAAACCCAACCTAATGGTGATTATGTGAGTTTGGGAGTGATTTTGATGATGGATTGTGATTCAAATGGATTATATGGGATTGCTTGTTAGTTCTTGATATGAGTAATTAGCCTAGATTATTGAACTTTGATGGCATGAAATGTTTGGTTCAACATGGAAATGTGAGTTGAACGTTTCATTACCTATTACAATATGATTATGTATCTTTTGTTGCTAAGTTAATGAGGAATCTAAGCTTAGTGATTTGAGTTGTTTTCATATCGTTTGAAGTTGGTCTTGCATGTGGTCTTTGCTATTCCATTATCCTTGTTCCTCCCTATTTGCCTAATTGCTATTGGTTAAGTGAATCCCATTCCCTTAGTGTTTTAATCCCTTGAATTCAATCCTTAGTTGTAGTTTGTTAGTTAATCACCACTTACACCTTTCGATTTAGGTTAAGCGTTAAGATTATTTAGCGATTGATTCCCGTTCTCCGTGGACCGAACCCTTGCTTGCGCCATTATACTTGTTTGAGTAAGGTGTTTGTTATAAATGTGTTTGACTTAGCCTAGATTGTGCGACCGATTTAGCGCTTGTCAAAATGGCGACGTCGCCGGGGACGGTGTTGTTGATTGCTATTTGATTGCTTGAGTCTAATTCATTATAAAATAAACCACAAAAGAGTTGTTTTCTTTTTGGCTACACTTGTAGCCTTGCTACTAATTGTGTTTGTTGAGTGTGTATGCGTAGGACTCAACATCGGATTTTGGTGCCTTACGATCCTGAGATTGAACAAACTTAAAGAAGAAGAAGGAGAAGGAGATCCGGTTCTAGGCCGGTAACTACTTCCCCAACTAGAGAGTTCAACTTCAGGGAACAACAAGACCAAATGGGTGATCCACAGCCACCACCTCAAAGACCTTTGAAGGAGTTGGGAACTCCGAGAGCTTATAGAGCTTCAAGTGGGATTGTTCCCCCAAACACCCTAGCCAACGATTTTGAGATTCGGCCCGCAATGATAAATTTGATTGAGAGGAGACATTTTAGTGGAGCAAAACACGAGAGCCCTCTTGCACATTTGAACGAGTTTGAGAAATATTGCAACACGATCAAGGTGAATGGGGTCACTTAAGAGTTTGTGAGACTAAAGCACTTTCCTTTCTTCTTAATAGGAAAGGGCTCTTGAATGGCTTGAAAAGGAGGTGAGACCCAATTCCTTGAGAACTTGGGATGAGGTCACCACGGCTTTCTTAGGGAGATTTTACTCTCAAAAGAAAACCGCCGAAGCAAGGGCGTTGATCCAAGGTTTTCAGCGAAGGGCTAGTGAGACTATCTATGAAGCTTGGGAGAGGTACAAGGAGTACCAAAGAGAGTGCCCTCACCATGGAATCCTAACATACCAAGTTTTACAAATCTTCTATGGAGGCTTGAGTCCTCAAGGCAAAACAAGCTTGGATGCGAGAGCCAGTGGGCCAATCATGAATAAAACCGAAGAGCAAGTGATTGAGATCATTGAAGATGTGGTAAGACACCACATGGATTGGCAAGAAGGAGAGAGGGAGTCTTCGAGCAAAGGAGGGAGTGTGGTTTACTCCGTTGATCACCTCAACGCCATAAATAATTTGACATCTCAAATCGCCAACCTTGGCAAGGAGATGACATCAATCAAGGCGAAGCTTGAGTCCTCCTATTCACACCAAGAGCGTCCCTCCCAATCTAAGGGGAGAGGTATAAGTTCTAACCCTTCTACTTCTACATCTAATAACATGCCAAATGAGTGTTTATTTTGTGAAAATTGTGGATCATATGATCATGACACCTCTTCTTGCACTTATGATTCTCAACCCCAACCCCAATATGAGGATGGTAATGAACTTGAAATTGAACATGTCAATGCTTTGTCTTATGATAATAGACATAGGAATGACAATCAAAGATATTTACCACCTAATCAAAGAGGGCAAGGGGGAAATTCCTTCAATCAAAGAGGAAATGATTATGATTACCACAACCAAAACCAATGGGGTGGTAGGAACCAAAGGGACCAAAATCCCCAAGGTAACTACAACCAACAAGGTGGTTATGGTAACCATAACCATAATAATCAAGGGAATTATGGGAATCAAGGCCAATACCACCAAGGGGGGAGTTCTAATAACCGGAACAATTGGAATAATAATGGTAATAGAGGCTTTAACAACCAAAATGCTAATTCCAATGTGAGAGGTCCTAGAGCACAACAAGACAATTATTACACTCAAGCACCTCCACAAAAGTCTAGCCTAGAAGAGATGATGGAAAGCCAAGCTAAAATGTTTAATACCTTCATGGCCACTAGTGACAAGAAGTTCAATGAGGTTATGACTCACAACAAAATGCTAGAAACCCAAATCTCCCAATTAGCCAATGCCATTAAAGAAGGAACTAGCACTTCTAAACTTCCACCCCAAGGGCTTGACCCCAAGAGACCGGTGAATGCCATTTCTATTAGGAGTGGGAAGTTGTTGAAGGAGAGTGAGCCAAAGAAAACCAATGAGAGAATGATCATGAATGAGCCCTCCCTTGAGAGTGAGTTTGAGCAAGAAGATGAGAGAAGTTGTGAAGACGAAAAAGGTGATGAAGTTGAGAAAGAAGTTGGAGTTGAAAATGAAAGAAAGATTGAAAAAGAAAAGAGAGTTCAAAAAGAGAAAGAGAAGGAACCAACACAATTGCAAAAACTTCCATATCCTCATAAGTTTGTGAGACACAAGCTAGATGTGCAATTTGGTAAGTTCCTAGAGACCTTGAAACAAGTCCACCTCTCAATACCCTTTACCGATGCCCAATTATGCTAGGTTTCTAAAGGATATTGTGAGTGGAAGAAGAAATTGTGATGTTGTTGAAACAGTGAACCTCACCGAAAGTTGTAGTGCAATCATAATGAACAAGATGCCTCCAAAGTTAGGAGATCCGGGTAACTTTTCCATTCCTTGTGCCATAAATCGAATGCAAATTGATAAGCTTTATGTGGCTTAGGGGCTAGTGTTAGCCTTATGCCATATATGGTTTACCAAAGACTTGATATAGGGGAGCTTTTGCCTACCAACATTACCCTCCAATTAGCGGATAGATCAATCAAATTCCCTAAGGGCAAGGTAGAGGATGTTCCTCTAAGGGTTGGAAAGTTTGTTATACCGGTCGATTTTGTTGTGCTTGACATGGATGAGGATGTGCATATTCCTATCATTCTAGGGAGACCTTTTCTAGCTACTTCCGGTGCTTTGATTGATGTGAAAAGTGCTAAAATTACACTCAAAATAGGTGAAGAGTTTCTTGAGTTTGATTTGAATGCAAGCATGAAATATCCTAGTTCTAGTTTAGAGAAATGCATGAAAATTGACACCATTGATTGTATTGTGAATTCTATGCAAGAGCACTTGCTCTCTACTAACAATGCCCTTGAGAACGTCTTGTTAAACAAGGAAAAGATAGGTGATCAAAGCAAGGAAATGGCGTTGTATGAAGAGTTTCTTGATGAGAATGTTGAAGGAAATGTTGATTAAGCTTGCATGGGAATCACACCCAAACATGCTATGGAGATTGCCACTACAAAGGAAGGTAAGGGTGTGCCTTTGGTAGAGCTAAAACCTCTACCATCACACCATAGGTATGAATTTCTTGGACCCAATTCCACATTTCCCGTTATTGTGAATGCATCTTTGAATGAACACCAAACCCGAATGTTATGTGGTGTGTTAAGAAACCACCAAAATGCCTTGGGCTATACCCTTGATAATCTCAAGGGTATAAGTCCCGCTATTTGCATGCATCACATAACATTGGAGGAGGGTGCAAAGCCA